GAACTACGCATTCGTATCGTTAATCGCTTCGTAATAAAAGGAGACCGCTGTTAGATTGTAGTGTATGGTTAGAAGTACAATGAATGATAATTCAATGATGGTTAGATTATTTATCTAAAATGGATAATATTAATATTTAATATTCTTTAAATCGAGGACAAAATGTATTGATATTAGAATAGATTGAAGGTAGGATCAAATTATATAGATGGAATTTGTGAAAATACTATGTTTCAATTTTAAAAATGTTTCTGGCATGGCTGCCCAAAATGTTATACAAAAACAACAGTTAATATACAGAATTAAACATATGTGAATGATTTATATGAAAAGACTAAAATACTAAATAAAAAATAGAAGATGCAGGATATCAGTTATTTAAAACATGGGAATGTGATTTTAAATATGATAATGAAACGATACAGCATAGGATGAAAATACATTTTGTAGAACTATTAAATCCTGGAGATGCATTTTAGGAAGGTAAATGCGAACCTACTAAATTAAAATATTACCGAAAAAAATTAGAAAGAAAGATATATTGACTTGTGTACATTATATCCTACTACTAATTGCTTTGATGACTATCATATTGGACATCCTACAAAAATATCTAATCTAAAAGAATATGAAAAATGGTTTGGATTGGTAAAACGTAAATTTCTTTCTCCTAAAAAATTATATCATCCAGAATTTCCATACGAGAGGAGAAAAACTGGTATGTGATACATGTTCACGCCCTTTTAAATGTAGACATTTTAAACCTAATCAAATTGTAGAAAGAAATGAAATTCTAAATAACAAATGCCATCTTAATGAATAAAGAAATTTTGTAGAAACGTGGACTGCTAAAGAAGCAAAATTAGCTATTTAAAAAAGAACACATAGTTTTAAATACTATATAGTATGAAGTATGGAATTTTGAAAATAAAACAGATGAACTATTTTAGAGATTGTGTTAAAATGTTTTTAAAAGTCGAATTAGAAGCAAACGATAAATAATCTGAAAAAGTTAAAACAGAAGAGAAATATTAGAAATATGTAAAAAGAAAATTAGATGTAGAATTAGATAAAATGTTTTAAATCCTGGAATGCGATTTCAAGCAAAACCTCTGTTTAAATTCATTACTGAGAAAATTTGGACAGAGAAAAAATATGAAACGAACAGAATATATGATGTAATTAAAAGACTTTTATAGAATTTTATTTGATGATATAATTAAAGATTCAAGTGAGGTATTTAAGAATGATGGTTACGCAGAAATAAACTGAAAGATGAATATACCTATATTAAAATTACTTTCAATACAGGTATCTATTAGATAATTTTCCCACAGTTCTGCAAGAATTCGATTATATAAAATGCTTGATAAATTAGGAGGTAATGTATTATGATACAGATAGCGATGTTTTTATCGATGACGGAACAAATAAAATCGAAACAATATGTTAGGTGAATGAACAGATGAACTGGGAGACCATAAACTGATATCGTATCTATCAGGAACAACTAAAGACTAGGGATACATTGGAAAGAAGGTTCTACAAAAGTAAAAATAAAAGTATTTAAAAGAGTTATGAAAATGAAAATATTTATATTTTTAATGCCTCAATGTAAATAGTAAGAGGAGAAACAGATTATTTCAATATAAAAGTAAACCAATTTTCAATACAAAAGCACAAAAATATGAAAGTAAATTATAACACTAAAAGATGCGGGTTTGATTAAAATGAAAGAATAACTTTAGATAATTATAACACAATACTATTTGGATATTAAAAAATGACATTATTTTTAATCTTCAAAAAATTTTGGTATATATGAAACTTGAAATCCATAAATTAATTTTAAAAATGCATAAATGGTTAACCATTGTTGATTCAAAAAATGCAGATAATGAAAGTAGAAAAAAAAAGGTGAATGTTATTTAATACTAAAAGTTATGGAAATGTTAAAGCCTGTTAATTGACAAAATATATTTAATAAATTTTTTTGGAATAAACAATGGAATAATTCAACATCTTGATATCTTTTACTGAAATTCGTAAGCTGAACTATCCAGGAATATATAAACTGATATCTTTAGAACATATCCATTCAAAATATAAAGATTACACATAGTTAACTTTGTAGTAGATGATGAACAAAATTACTTTCTTAAAACGAATCACGGTACTATGTCTTCTGATATCATCGAAAAAATAACGTGCATTATATTTTTAAATTCAAGGAGAAATTCATGACAAATACTAGGATTACAAGTTGTAAGAAACCTTTCTTAAAAATAACAGCCTATAAATTGGTATCAATTGAACGGAAATCAGATAAATTATCGCAAAGTTTGATTAGAAATTTTAAAACAGCTCTGGATTCGACAATTATCTCAAAATATCAAGTATTATCAGAACCTTTTATCTTAGAATTTAAAAATAAAAGAGATTGCATCATATATGCGCATATCAAAGTCTTTCAGAAAAATGAAAGACTTATCGAGAATCAGCATCTAACTCATTTGGATGTCGTTTATGTAGATATCAAAAGACGCTGAACACTGATAGTTCAGTCCGAAATTCAAATCCTGCGAACGGCCGGGTTGCATGAGCGTTTTCGTGGTTTTTCCTATGTGTAACGTGTATCTGAGCCAGTTTCCTTTAGAAAGTCCTCCACGAACGCATCCCTCCCTTTAGGCAGATAGCCCCGTGTGCTTTGCCATAATGGAATAATCTTAACCCTAATATAGATATCAAACGTTGCCTGAAAATTTTATATCTGAAAATATCTATAAACTAGACTGGGAACAAATTTCAGAATTTCAAACTTTTACGTGATGATTTCAGTATAGAAAACTCACGAAAATTAAATATGACCGTTCCTGGGTGTAAAAATTATCAGAAAGTGCTGTAGAACACTTGAAAAATATTATAGATTGGAATGAGGTTTTTCATACATCAAACGTTTCACAATTGTTCATATTTAGATGTACTGATAAAATACACTCATGTCCATAAATTAAGGATAATTCGGAGTCACGCGGAAATCGAACTCTAAAATAAATATATCACCTGGAAAATCACTACATACAACTTCAAGAATCATATGCAAATTTCAGGAAGTAACCAGATGATACCGATGGTACGTCACAATGACGAGAGTGTAAGAAATTGATATATTAGGAATGCAGGCAAAGAAGTAAAATTGTTCGCAGGCGCTTTAAAAGCATTTCAGTGCAATAACCGAACAATAATTAGGTCTGGAATGTGGGCGTACCCAAATGAAAGTATCAGACGAACTTGGAATTGCCCAGAGTGTTATCTCCAGGCTTTGGCAACGCTTCCAAGATGATGGTAATGTGAGTAGACGTTACAGTACAGGTCGCCCCAGAGTTACAACGCCGAATGAGGACCGGTATTTGGCAGTTACTGCCAAAAGAAACAGGCGGAGCACAGCCTCAGACCTGTCTCGTCAGCTCTCTTCAGCCACTGGTACGACAATTTCAAGGCAGACCGTGTACAGATGCTTAGGGCAGATTGGTCTATATGCTCGTAGACATGTCAGATGCATTCCACTTACTGCAACTCACTGTCGCCTGCGGTTAGCCTGGAGTAGAGAGCATGCATTGGGGACACCGCAACAGTGGGCTTGTGTGATGTTTTCCGACGAGTCCAGGTTTAGCTTGCAGTCTGATTCTCGCCGGAATTTCATATGGAAAGCTCCAGGTACCCGTTACCACCAAGAAAACATCATTGAACGACACCATTACGGTGGTGCAGGAGTGCTCGTTTGGGGTGGAATTATTCTCTGTTTCAGAACTGACCTGCATGTTCAAATTGGAATCATGACAAGCCAAATCTATCGGGACGTCATTCTGGAACAACATGTACGTTTGTTTCGGGGCGCCATGGGCGAACAATTTGTGTTTATGGATGACATCGCCCGTCCTAACCGTGCAAACATCATAAGCGAATGAATGCCTTCAATCGGAGGATATCACCTGTATGGACTGGCCAGCATTCTCACCGGACTTGAACCCAGTAGAGCACGTGTGGGACATGCTTGGCCTACGAGTTGCAGCCCGTCAACCTCCTCCTACATGTCTACCGGAACTTCGGAGAGCATTGCTTTTTGAGTGGTGTAATATCCCCCAAGATCAGATCGATAATTTGATACTCAGCATGCCTAGGCGTTGTACGGACTGTATTGCATCGTCTGGGAGGCATACAATGTATTAACAATCATACCAACCATGTAATATTGGTTTTTTGTAAATAGTTTTTTTTTTTTTGGTAATTTACTCTAGGGAGAAAAAATCGCTAATTTTTTTAATAATATCAAACATGTAGCATCTTTTTTGCTCTTTATCTTTTGTTTAATAAATAAGCTTTACAAATAAGTCAAATTTGTTTTGTTTCTAACTCTTCCTAGTTGCTTTGAACTAAAAAGCATCAGCTTTGTATAATAAACTTTATTGTTATTCTAAAACATAAAATTCTTCAAGAGAAATATTGCCTGCAGCGCAGTGCGGCTAAGAACGCTATTCTACTGAAACATAAACATGAACAACTGTTGCCATTCACACAAACTTTATAGTAAAATAAAGCACGTTGCCAGTAACAAGATTATTGCAAAAATCATAACATAAAATTAAGCAGTGAGGAAATAAAATATACAAAGAAAAAAAGAAATGCAAATATTAAATATGCATCCAACATTAACTCCCACCCTTCACCCTTGCCATTGCATTAACAATAGATCATTCCCGATGCAATGGCAATGGTAAAAGTTTTACTATAGGTCTTTTAAAATAACCATGAACAGTTTTTACTGTAACAACTCTAACAATGCCATCCTTTCCTGGATGGATTTCAACAATGCGACCTACAGGCCAAACACCAGGAGGCATGTTGTCCTCCTTAATACAATATCACCTACAGACAAATTTGGAAGTTGTTGCTTCCATTTGTATCTTTGTTGTAAGGAATTTAAATACTCCTTATAATACCTCTTCCAAAAGCCTTGTTTCATTTGCTGTAATAATTCCCATCGTTTTAATAAAGTGGGTTTGGGAATATTAGAAAAATCCTGTTCTGGGATGCTAGTAAGAACATCCCCAGTTAAAAAATGTGATGGAGTCAAAGCATCTAAATTACCTACATCATTGTGATTAGTTTTAGATAAGGGGCGTGAATTTAACACAGCTTCAATTTGAGTTAGTAAAGTAGTTAATTCTTCAAATGTTAACTCCCACAAACCACCAAAGTGGGGAGAAGCAGGTGGAATCATTTTCCATTCCACAGTATTTTCAGCCAAATAATTTAAAATCAATTCATTGCTGTTAAGTGAAAGTAGCAGAGTTTGCAATTCGGACAATTTTCTTTTTGCGCCAACAAAGTTCGTACCATTATCCGAAAATAAGTATCGAGGTGTACCACGCCTCGATACAAATCGCCTAAGAGCAGCAATGAAAGAATCTGCAGTTAAGTCGCTAACTACCTCAATATGGTAAGCTTTGGTAGCTAGACATACAAACAAAGCTATATAACCTTTAGTAGTCTTAAAGCAACTACCTTTGTAACATTTCAAAATTACAGGACCGGCATAATCAATACCTGTGCTAAAAAATGGTCTCTCAAGTATTACTCTTTGTTTTGGCAAGTTTCCCATTAACTGATTATTAGATGACAATTTATATCTGTGACAAACAATACATTTATGGATAAAGGACTGAATAAGTTTCTTACCATTTACAATCCAATAGCTTTGCTTTAAAATGTTAGCTAGTAAACTGGGCCCTGCATGCATATAAGTTACATGATATTGTTTAACAAGCAACAAAGCAATCCTGTGTTGACCTGGTATAATTATGGGATGCTTAGCATTGAATGACAAGTCAGAATTTTGCAGCCTACCTCCCACCCGTAAAACACCATCATCATCTAGAAAAGGAAAAAGTGAGCTTAAAAAACACTTTTAGGACTTAAAGATGAATTATTTTTGAGATCCTTTATATCTTTATGGAAGTGCACAAACTGGATCCATTTAATGATCAACTTCATAGCTGCTTGCCTTTCATTAGATGAAGGTACTACTGCAGGACTTTTTAACCTATTATCTTCAGAACCAAAGACCCGTTCTTTGCACCTAGAAATAAATCTTAAACAAAAGGAAATTACATTAACTATTTTAGATAAAGAAGAACAGTTCTGAAATAAATTGTCCAGAGTGTCATTAGTCAAATAAGCTGTTGTACAAAAAATTGATTTTGTCCTTTGTTCAGTTAAGACAGTTGCATCACTGTTAGTCTCATTACTGACAGAACATTGTAGAGGCCACTTTGAACTGTCGAACGCTAAGAATGATGGCCCATGCCACCATAGGGATATGTTCGGTAGAACTTTAGGATCGATTCCTCTAGAAGGAAGATCGGCAGGATTCTGTTTCGACGAAATATAGCTCCACTGTTGATAGGGAATAGCATCTAATATTTCTGAAGTCCTGTTTGCCACAAAAGGCTTCCATTTTCGAGGATGAGCTGCTAACCAACAGAGAACAACCTTAGAGTCAGTCCAAGCGTGAAAGGAAATTTCAGTACTGGAGAAGGCTTTACGGACAGCTTTGATTAATCTGGCAAGGAGCAATGCACCTAGGAGTTCCACTCTAGGTATGGACACTTGTTTAATGGGAGCAACTTTGGTTTTAGCAACCACCAAATTGACTTCATTTCTGTCGTGAGATGTTGGTTGAACACAGTAGATAACAGCAGCGTAAGCAGATTCTGACGCGTCACAAAAACCATGCAGATAGATGTGGTTAGACGTAGTTTGAAGCCACCTCGAAATTTTAACATTTTTGAGAGCCTTAAGATCTTCTTGAAGTCGCTGCAACTTCTCTTCCCATTCTTTAGGCAGTGGGGCATCCCAGTCAAGTTTTAAAAACCACAATTGCTGATAAAATATTTTCAACTTGACTGTACATGGTGATAGCAAGCCAAGAGGATCAAAGATTTTAGAAGATTGAGAAATGAACCTTCTTTTAGTAATTTCAGTCCCAAAATCCATAGAAATGTTAAATAAAAATACGTCTTCTGTAGAGTTCCAAAACAGCCCTAAAGTCCTTGGCACATTCATCTGAGTGAACTTCCAGGTCATCTTCTTCATGATTATCAATGGATAAATTTTCGAGAAGCTTTGAGCAGTTTGATCTCCATTTCCTTAAATTAAATCCACGTTTCTGTAATAGCTGTGAAAGCTTAGAGCATAGGTCAACTGCTTCCTCTAAACTGTTTGCTCCAGATAAACAATCATCTACATAGAAATCATTTTTAAGAACGGAGATACATGAGGATGATCCTGTTCTGCATCCAAAGCAATTTGCCACAAACAGCGTGTTGCTAAAAATGGTGCAGATGCAGTGCCATAACTGTAACTGTACATAATTTATATGTCTGCATTTTTGAATTAACAGATTCTCTCCAAACAATTCTTTGTAAATGTTGATCCTCATTATCTACTAAAATCTGGCGGTACATTTTTTCTATGTCAGCAGAAAAAGCTATTTTATGTATACAAAAGTTGAGCAATATTGAAAATATATCTCGTTGTAGTGTTGCACCTACCCCTAAAACAGAGTTCAAAGAAACTGAATTTTTAGGTTTACATGAACCGTCAAATACTACACGAAGTTTAGTGGTAGAGCTACTTGGTTTAACAACAGCATGATGCGGTAGATAATATACTTGCTTATTTTCTTCATTCTCAACAACTGGAACCATATGATTTAAAGTTTCGTATTCTTGCATGAACTCCTATGTATTGCCTACCAAGTTCTTTATCTAAATCAAATTTTCTTTCCATGGATAGAAGACGAGAAATAGCCAAAGGTTTGGAGTCGCCTAACTCTTCAGCATTACTGAAAATGGGGCAGTCGGACAACAAATCTGCCATTTCCGTTTACTCGATAATTTTCTTTAAAATGCTTCTCACAAAACTCTTCTTCAATCGTTGATTTCTGATTTTGGAACGTTAATTCTTCCAACTCCCAAAAACGCTTAAGTGTTGCATCGACGTTATCCTCAATATGTAAACTAATGCGATTAACACTAATGGGATGAGGAGTATTGCCTTCTGTTTTAATTCTGCCTGATACAACCCAACCAAAAATAGTATTTTGCGCAATTACATTTTTATAGCCAACAATCTGCCCTGGCTGAAGCAGAGAAAAGAAATAGTCAGCTCCAATTATCATGTCTATTTGTTTGGGCGTACTGAAATTCGGATCTGCAAGATTAATTGAATTCAAATAATCAAGGTCCTTGCTATCAATCTTTACTGAAGGCAAATGCGAAGTTAATTTTTTAAGAATATATGCTTGTATTAAAACACCATTTTTTTTTCAACTCAGATTTCGGAAACAATTTTACATTTACATAACCACGAGTCAAAGCTGCTTCAGAATCACCAAGTCCCTTTACGCAAATACGGGCATTTTGTCTGCGTATATTTAATTGTCGAATAAATGATTCACTGATGAAAGAAGCTTCACTTCCACTGTCAAAAAGAATGATACATTCGTGACCTTGACCAGCAGAATCGTAAAATTATTACTGCCGCCGTTGGTAAAAATGAAGTACTCTGACCCTGAATAGAAAAACTCGAAATATTATTTTGTTCGTCTGAATTAGAAATTTGTTCATCAGATGGAGATGAATTTGACACAACTACGTTAACACTTTTAATATCTTCATGCAGTAAAGTATGGTGTTTTGCTTTGCAAATAGAACACACATTCTGCGATGAACAAAATTTTAATTGATGATTTCCGAAACAATTGAAGCATAATAAATTCTTGCGAATGATATTTTTCCTAGTCGTAATATCTGCACCTTTAAATTTATAACACTTTGATAAAAAATGAGAACCATTGCAATGCTGACATTTTAGAACAGAATTTTTATTATTATGTGAAACATTCTTCGAAACAGAGCACTGATTTTTATGCGATACTCGCTTTTCATTATTATGAGTGTTTAACATTTCAAGTGAAACACATCTTGAGTTTAAGAATTCCAAAAAACATTCTAAGGTAGGAAATTCTTCTTCACCATTTTTTTGTGACCATAAATGGCGCGTTTCCGGATCGACCTTTTTCTAACAAAAAATAAATTAGCCAAACATCTCTAGACGAAGCCTTTTCGCCAAGAGATTTTAATCCACGAATAACTTCATCAAATGTATCAGATAGTTTTCTTAAATTAACAGAATCAGCACTAGTAATTTTGGGTTGCTCAAGAAATGTTCTGACAAGTGACATAACAATTTGATTTTTTCTATCATAACGATTCATCAATTTGTCCCAAGCCTCATCGTATGTAGTTTCGGAAATCGGAATGTGCTTAATAATAGCAGCTGGTTCGTCTTTTAAAAGTCCTATCAAATATTGGAATTTCTGAATTTTCGCTAATGACTGATTGGTATGAACTGTCGCCATGTACAGATCTTTAAAATTAAGCCAATCAGTATATTTACCATTGAAACTCGGAATGTTTAAACGCGGAAGTTTAAAGCTAGCCTCAACTGCAGTGGGATTTGAAATCAAAACATTTCTGGCCGTTACGGATTCAATGGCGGATTGATACATTACTTTCGTTTCAAAATATTTAGCTTCGAATTCAGCAATTTCAGAAGCTTCTTCGGGTAAAGCAGCATCATATTGATCAAATTCTTTAAATATTTGTTCAATTCTTTCTAATCGTGCTTTTAATTCCGTTAAACTTAACTGATTACTGAAACTATTGTGAAGCCGCGTTAGGGTAGATTTCGTTCGTCCTCTTAATCTTTTAAGATCAGATTCACTTAATTCTGTCATTATTACCATGAATAATGATTAATAAGCACAAATAACTTCAATAAGATACTTAAGCAGCAAAAAATATTTCCGCTTATCTTTCTGACGTCACGCAGACGATTCGCAGTACCAGTACTTAAAAGTTCGTTAAACACAGTTCTAAAGCATATAATAACACACATTAAATAGCATTAAATGCCTCACCTGGGGAACCAAATAGTTGCCTTGAACTAAAAGCATCAGCTTTGTATAATAAACTTTATTGTTACTCTAAAACAGAAAATTCTTTAAGAGAAATATTGCCTGCAGCGCAGTGCGGCTAAGAACGCTATTCTACTGAAACATAAACATGAACAACTGTTGCCATTCACACAAGCTTTATAGTAAAATAAAGCACGTTGCCAGTAACAAGATTATTGCAAAAATCATAACATAAAATTAAGCAGTGAGGAAATAAAATATACAAAGAAAAAAAGAAATGCAAATATTAAATATGCATCCAACACTTCCTTTGCCTGATTTTGCATTATCCTTAATTTATGGACATGAGTGTAGAAGAATGCCTCTTTATATTGAAAAGATATTGTCTGAAGAAGCTGTAAATCTTATTTTCAAGAATATGGTTTTAAAGTATTTCGGTAAAATTTAAAACCTAATTTTCTTATTCTTATATTCATTTTATTCTTATTTTTCAATTCAGGACGTCTTTTTTTGGAGCTCCCTTTTTTTCACGATTTTTAAGTAAGGGTGTGCCATTTTTAGAGTGATTATTTAATCTCATTTTTGAAATTTTAAGAAACAGATCAATGTTTTATGTTAAA